CGAAACCCTACATTCGATGATCAGTGATGCCATAAGTCCTTTTTATAAATCCTATATTCGAGAGTCCGGAAGAGCAGACAGGTAAGCACTGTTTGTGCTTCTCGATTTATACACAGGGATGGGGACAAGATGGCGCCTAGTGTGGAGAAGACAATGACCGAACTGGAAATGGGCCTACTCCATCTGCAGCAAAATATTGACATTCCAGAAATCACTCTTTCTATTCACCCAGTCGTTGCGCAGGTGGTAAAACAGAAGGCCGAAGCAGGTTTACGTGCCAAAACATCGGATTTCGAGGACAAGATGGAGGATGCACACTTTCTCAATGCTCTCCAGTCTGGTGTCAATAGGTGGATAAAAGAAATCCAAAAGGTTTTGTTTATGATGGTTCTAATAAGGTATCCTTAGGTTACTAAACTCGAACGTGATCCAGCTTCAGGGACTGCGTTACAAGAGATAACATTCTGGTTGAATTTAGAGCGCAGTCTTTTTCGCATTCAAGAGAAACGGGAGTCCCTTGAAGTTACCTTGACCTTGGATATACTGAAGCATGCTAAGAGGTTTCATGCTCTCGTTAGTTTTGAACACGATACAGGTACCTGAGTTTCGAGCGTCTTTTTATCCAATTAGGTTTGCAGCAGGCTTTGGACACTGTCAATGATTACAACCCGCTGATGAAGGATTTTCCTCTCAATGATCTCCTTGCGGCTACTGAATTGGACGAGATCCGCCTTGCTATTCAATCCATATTCACTCACTTGCGAAAAATAAGAAACACGAAATATCCAGTTCAGCGTGCTCTCCGACTGGTTCAAGCCATATCCAATGATCTCAGTTCACAACTACTAAAGGTACGTTTCCAATCAATCCTTTCGTTGTGAACATTCGTTCGTTTTACCTCAACGGTTATCTGACAGTTTTAAAATAAGTGTTGCTACAGGCCATGTCTCTGGCAAATTATGTGACCAGTGACCGTAGATTGCGGGAACATCGTTGGTGCACAATTTAGACCAGTATATCGAATTTTAGGTGCCACGTCTTTGATGTGAAAATTTGATTTTACGTCTCGGCTGATAAAGCATTGTGCAATTATGGGATTCTGTGATATGCATCTTTTTATCCCGGTTGATCAACTTTTCTTGTTCAGTCAGTCATTTTTCAGCTACAAGCAGTAACCTTGTAGTTTACGTGGCTACTGCTTGGACGCAGGCTTTTCATGGTCCTTTCACTCGCAGTTCCTCCACACGTTCCCTACCCGGGGCCATGGAACCCAGTGCACCAATAAATGGATGATATTCACGGAATGGTGGACCGTTAATGTGCTCACTTTGGCAACACGAGCATTAGATGGTTTCCGGTACAACCTTCCGTATCCTGCAACATTTCCTAAGACCTTGACTCTTGTCCAGTAACTGACGATGCACTCAGTAGCTCCGATCGGGCTCAGGAGTGTAGTTTGCAGAATACTGGCATATCCAACGCGCGTAACAATGTCCATTGTCTCAATGATTGGAAATAATAATAATAATAATAATAATAATTAACCAACTTGGCGCACAATAACTGGATATGTGCATATGTCAGACTGCCCTTACTGTCTTTGGGGAAACTGCCAGTATCTAACTTTCAAAATTTTTATTTAACTTCCTATTTCAGTCCGTTGGGCTTCCGCCGCTTTTATTAGAGTCAGTGGCATTTAAGAACTGATTGGTGAAGCCTAGCCTAGCGTTTCGACCTTACGTCGTTGCTCTCATTTTCGCTTCGTGCTAGGATCTCTGATATGAAGTCACGTTTCGCGCACGCGTACGAGGTCATGGTGTTTGGGATAGTGTTTGAGCACTCGGATTTATAGAACAGGTTTTTAGCTCGAAATGTGCTAAATATGAGCCTATACTCTCCAAACTCCTTTACCATGTGAGAGATTCTAGGATTCGCGGGCGACTAAGCTGGAGGTTAACATAATAGGTGTTCTACTGAACGTGGCGCCTCTAGCACTATGGTGTCACCAGTCTGTCTAACATGAGTTACGTCGGCTCTATGGGGTGTTTGGGTAGTCCTCCACACAGAAGCGTGCGCACAAATAATTGTTTGTTGATTAGTGTCTTCAAATAATTGCTCAGATATGACGAGCGCATTGAATCAATAATGCCGAGATAACCAAATTGCTTTTGGAAAGGAAACACCTGAGACAGATGACCTATTTGCATCCCATAAGACACAGTCATGTTACTGTAACTCAGTTGGTGTCAGTAAGTTTTAGTGGGACACACGTTTTGCTGACATATCTAGGTTACAGCAACTTAGCTTGAGTCAATAATTTTCCACCAAATACGTTGGCATTACGCCTTTAGGTGGCACTCCAGTTTATGTACCTTCGTTGGAGAATTCCACTATAGACAGCCATTTCTTTGATCGGGGGTCGAGATGGCTCAAGCGGTTAGAGCGCAGATTTACTGACCGGAAGGTCCGTGGTTCGAACCTGACCTCTGCCTCTCGACTTCCCCTGTCTAGGCTTGGGTAACTTGGCAGTATCCCAGCCCCCTTGCTTCCTTCGGGTGGCATGGCAGCTAGGCACCGAAAGGGTGTTACAGCTAAACGATTATATTATTGTTATTAAAGAGCGTCCAGCTCTGGGACTAAGCGCGACTGTCACGTCATATATTCCACGAGTTATCGCTTCTTGAGCACCGGACACAGGGAGAAATATGAAAGAGCTGGGTCTGTCTTTGGCGTCCAGAGATGCATAACCATGCTTGGGTCTTGTATGCGCGCTTCAGAGACATACCCTACATCAATTTCAAGGGAGTCTAAGGTTTCAGCTAGCATCACCTGTTTGCCAATTCGGCGTAAAGTACGGAAGTTAAAATCTACGTAGAAAGAATCTCGTGGATTAAGCAAGGTATTATTTTGTCTATTGTTAATGGGCAGCGGGGAGCCTAAGGTCTATTGGTCAGATAACTGACAGCCAAATGACTCAGCAACGCTTGTTTGTTTGGTGGGAAGGAGTCGGGCAGGGACATCAACGGACAACTTATACTTCCCGGTCGCTCAGGCAGAGGAAGGGAGTTTGGCTGAGGTACCTCTACCCCGCCTTTGGTTAAAAAATCTGACCCACAAGGCCGTGGGATGGGTACGGTTTTGTTCGGGAACCCTGCCTTTAGTATCTGATTCAAAGGTCTTCGCGCTAAGCGGCGGCAAATAGGTTTTTCTTCGGGGACCCTGCCCGGAGCCGATGTCTCAGTAGTCTGACCAGCTGGGCTGCAAGGTTGTGTACGAGCCCGAGGGTCCACGGTGCAACCCCAAGGTGTAAGTGTCTCACTCCTGGTGTTACTGTGAGCGGCTGACGCCTTTTGAGCAGCACCAGACTTTTTGTTGAATAATTTGCCGGCCGTCACGGCAACCGTTGGGCAATTATTGTGCGGTTTATATGGCCGACCTTTTTCAACCTGTCCTTTTGCGGAAGGCAGCATCGCTGTTTGCATGAAAATGGCCCTGCTAGTTGCATGGGGGAAACACGTTACAACCTTTACTCCTATCGCAGAGCACAGTACGACTTTACCCTAGAGCGCCTCGTAGTTCGGGGTCTCGCTGTTCTTTGGCCTTCCTGGCATGGTTGTACCCTGCGGAACGAAGTTCCAGACGCTGAGGCCGCTTGAGCACTGCAGCACCTAAGCCCGACCACCACGGTAACTTTAGTTAAGGCCACTATGTGCACACCAAGAACTGATACTCATTCAAAGCTGGATTCAATCCGATAGGATATGTCGTCCGGGGTGCTCTTCATAAACTGCGGGCATTGTTCAAAAATGTGTTAGTGGACTCAGGAAACCACGTTCACCACGTGCTGCCACGGAGACTATTGTGTCCTGTTTTTAACATCCTTTGACCTATCAGCCCTTTGAGTGTCAGCGAGAAATATATTGTTTTCGTGGTCCGTGAAAAGACGCGACGGGATGAACATACGGTGTTTTTTGAGGTAGTCTTTTAAGTGGATGTAGTCTGTTGAGTTTCTCAACGTTTTATCTGGAAATAAAGTCGCCTTAGAAGATGTATGGTTTCTGTCAAAATCAAGGTATCTAGTCCTACTGCAGAATAATCGAATTGTCCTAAGCCAAACTATTTTCTCAGACCAAAACATGCAGGGGGTGTTACTTTGTTACAGGTTAGTCCTGTTACAGGTTACAGGTTAGTCCTGTTGAGCTGTGGGTAGCAAAACGTGCAGCTGGTCTTCCCTCTAAGGCCCAGGCACCCAACAGTCTGTATGAGTGAGCGTAGCACGAGTTACCGCACGAGCAGCTTAACAACTCGTGTGCTAATTTTATTCACACGGTAGCAACAAACTAACGTTGATTTCTTTCGTAACCTATTTACATATTATTGATGGTCATTCGGCTGTAGCACAATCTCGGTGCCCAACTGCCACGCTATCCGGGGGAAGTATGAAGGTTGTGATATAGTCCGGTTGCCCAAGCCTAGACACGGGCGATTGAGATGCGGGGATGGCGGTCCAACCGTAGACTTTCTGCCCAGTTATTTTGTTCCTTAACTGTTGAACTCTCTTGAACTTCATGATATAGACACCAGAAGACGCAACCAGGATGCAACTCTATTCAATGCGCATAACCCAACGCGACAAAATACCTTTTTGCATCTATGCGTTTATGACAGTCAGAGTATAGTTTGAAAAAAACGCTGATTTTTTGCACGAGTCATTCCGAAAGCCTTATAGTACCAGGGAAAATAGCGAGTTGATATTAGCGGATCTAGCTGAACTGCTCATGAGACTTCGGGATTTTGCAATGCTAATTGCTTTTCCGTTGTACCAGCTAAGGACAATGCCATATTGTCCACCGAGCAATGCAACTCAACTCAATTAATCACTTCTCTATCGCTGATGACAGCATGATTAAACGACCTCAATACTTTGTTTACTATTTCACCAGTTCCAACCTCCAGTCCGTTTCTTCCTTTAGGTGCTAGGTACCCGCCGCCTAATGCACATGCCTTTCGAGGAGTTTGAACGAGTAATGGGCGCGTGTTCCAAAGTTTTCGCAACGTGGGATGATGAATCGGATAGACTCCAGGGCTTACTACGCGATATAATAAAGAAGAAACGCGAAGAGCAGCTGCGTATTGGATGGCGAGGCGCACCTGCACATCGACGACTGCAGATACGCTTGGACCACATGCGAAAGCAAGTTTATGCCCCACTTCTCTTTCGTCTTTTCATTGTCCTCAGTGCCATCCCGTCAATTTGCAAACGATTGTTTCCATGCCTTTTTATCGAACCACTTGTATCTGGTTTCTGCGTCTGTTCCAACTCTTGGAATATACGTAACTAGCATGTTTTCTCTCTCAGGGTACCGGTGTGACGGTTTGTACTACTGAAGAGAGTTTTAAGTTGCACGGTCTTTACACAGCTCGAAACATTTCACTTTCAGTTAACCGGCTGTAGCGTTTGTTCGTTGGTGCCTGACGTTCAAGTGACGCTCGGAGAAGGCTCCAGATGATGTCCGACTAGACCGGATTCGCTCTTACAATAGGCTCGTTGCTTATTTTGGCAACCACTCCACGTCCGTGTTCTTACGCTTGTTACAATGACGAGATCCTGTTTTCGCGGTTTCACTGAAATAAAGGTCCATCGATTTCAAGACAAGCGGGTATGTTAGGACCGGTGAATGTCCCGATGCAGTGAGTCATTAGAAAGATTACTGCTACTCGACGGACAGCCTGTTAGCAGTAGGTATTTGTATACGTAGATTGTAATCACCGCGTTGACGCAGACAGCTAAGCAGGTTGTGGTTTGGATAAACAGGAATTACATGTTTCGCACAAGTGATGCTGAAGCGGATGTATCAAAACAATAAAATAATTCAGCTGTAGCACCCTGCCTCCCACCCGAAGGAAGCACGAGAGTTGTGATACTGATAGGATGCTCAAGCCTAGACACGAGAATTCAAGATGCAGAGGTCGGGTTCGAACCACCGACCTTCCAGTCAGTAAGTATGCGCTCTAACCACTGGACTGGTGTATCACTAAGACAGCGGGAGAGCTGCTGCAATCAAACCGTGTGCGTTGACTGTTATGGTGGTAGATGGATGCGGTTTGAGGACTGCTGCTTGCTGCTATGCAAAAAGCTACCAAACATGACGAACGTGTTCATGGTTTTCTGAAACTGGCCACAAGTCCCATATGTGCTCAGTTCCCAAACCAGGTCACCCGTTTCGCAGTAAGCTACATACTGCGGATAAAATCGAGCTTACTCTACTAACCAATTTTAGACTTCTTGATTTTTATCCATCAATATTGGTTGCTGTGACGAGTGCACATGCCTTGTTATGGCTGACAGCTTCTATGCGTCAGCTGGTCATCTTGAAGATAGATGTTCACTGAAAATCCTTATCACTGGGTGCTTACTGCTTCTTTTTGTGAACTCGTCTAGATGATTTCTTCGTTATCACTTTTTAAAAGCCAGACTAATTATTTAGCAAGATCCTAAGTCGACCCCCATTGGATTTTTCCCTTTCCCCTTGTTCTCTATTATTATCTCCTTTCAATTTATTTACCCGAAGGTTCCGTCACCAACATGAGCAACTACGTCAGGTGATTATGCGTGTTTTACGTCCGGCACAAACCCGTGTAACTCACACTGATGCGGGTAAGGATGAACTTGCTGGAAACCAACCTGGCGAGAATGCTTCTGCTGAAACGACCAAGGGACCAGACAAAGTTTCACGGAAGGTGCAACCACTTTTGGATGCTTCCGATGCGAATGCGATTGAGGAAGTGAACCTAGCGTACGAAATCGTCAAAGAGATTGATTGCTTGGATGTCACTAAAGAAGGAACAGACGCCTGGGAGGCGGCCGTAAAACGGCAAGTTTTTTCTTTCGCCAGTTATCTAACTCATTTCCATTGGTTTGTGTCCTTCGTGGAATCCACTATGGTTGAGATATAGATTATTGTCATCTTACCAATATGCTTATATTTGCACCATAGATATGATGAACGAATCGATCGGGTCGAAACCCGGATCGCTGCCAGGCTTCGGGACCTTCTTGGTACTGCAAAAAACGCCAACGAGATGTTTCGTTACTTCTCACGATTCAATGCCTTATTCGTACGGCCTCATATTCGAGGGGCTATCCGCGAGTACCAAACTCAACTGATCCAGCGCGTGAAAGACGACATCGAGGCATTGCATACCAAATTCAAAGCACAGTATTCCTCCAGTGAAGCCTATCACATGACGAAGTGTCGTGATTTGCCTCCAGTCGCTGGTTCCATAATCTGGGCTCGCCAGATCGAACGGCAGCTCAACGCCTATTTACATCGTGTCGAAGACGTCTTGGGTATGTTCACGTTTTCGAATACACTGGCGCTGTTTGTGTGAGTTGTATCGTGCTGTACTTAAATTCCATCAACTGTAATCCCTAAGTGTCACACCGATGGCCGACAATTCCGTCAGTATATCGTTGTTTCTTTGCTGCGTATAGTTTTGTGTGTGACTGGGTATCCGGCCTGCCTAGTCCCACCAGCACCATTGAGTTATACGGGATCGTATAATTTTCATTGTAGTCTACTTTCCTAGTGGGGCGAAGAAATATATCTTGTGCATCTCAAGAATTTGACCTTCAGGGTACAGATGACAGTTTCCGTGGGATTATAATTCTGAACTTGATCACCACTTATTCACCTGTTCTGGTGTCCCTTCTATCTTGTGACCTGTGAAAACCGACTCTCACTATTTTGTACGTCCATCACAGGAAAGGGATGGGAGCACCATAGAGACGGGCAATTGTTAAAGACCGAAGGGGAAAGCTTCAAAGCCAAACTGAACACCACCGAGGTGTTCGAAGCTTGGGTTCGAAAAGTTTCACAAAAGCAGGTTCTTGTCTCTGGTCGAATTTTCAACATTGAGCCAATCCGTGCCCGAATTGCCACGAAGGAAGGTGAAACACAAACCGTTACGGTGTTGAAACTCCGGGTCAACTTCCAACCAGAAGTGAACACTTTAGCGAAGGAGGTAGATTTCATTTTTTGTTCATTGCCCGTTACCTTATGATATATTTGTTGTTTGTCATTTTCCCATGGAACAATTTCTCAAGCGTTGCAACCGGCCACGAAAGCATAACACCAGCTTTATATATATTATTCCTTCACTTTTACTTTAGCTATCCTACGTGAAGATGAGCCTGTTTTGTGCATGTCTGATTGGTTACCAATCGCATCCCCTTGACTTTTGTCCAAGGGAGCCGTTTTACAACCAAATGCTATTCATGCCGCGGCATAAAAGATCTGAAAGCACCCATCCAAACAGTCTTCTGAAAGATGACTTACATTCTCGGTATTGGGCGTCACCCAGGTTCACCCGCCTGCCAGGGTGGTGATAACTGTCATACACAAACCACTCGAAATCGCAAGTGAGAACTGGGTATCAGGCGGGGATTCTGGATGATTATACCATTATTCAGATGTACAACCGCGTACGTCTCATTCAGCATCCGAAGGTTAAGAGGCAGGGGATGATAAATCTAGGTAGCTACTGTGCTACTAAAACCTAGCACACGACGATATATCACTTCTCATCTGCTTATTTGAAAATGTCGGGGAAAGTGAGTTACTCGGGTGCAAATCAGTCGAGGTATTTTACTCACTGCTACAATGCTGATTTTCAATGGTTCCAGCAAAAGGGTGTTTTGTAATACAGCTGTAAATTGTGCAGAAATTGGCAACTGTCTTAACCATGATTTTCTGGTTCCGTGATCGTGGTTGTTTTCATGTTTATTCGTGACAACAGTTTATTTTTGGACTCGTCAATATCGCTCTTTTTTTATAACCATACTGAATCTGTAACCGTATTACAGCCCCATTGCTGAAATCTTATCTCTCAGCGGCCTATACCACAATTCTTTGCTTAAATTGGCTCTGAAGTTTTCTAAACCGTACGTAGTTTTTCTTGCACTCATTCCATTTATACTAGGCTGGTCATCTTCAAGAACCACATCTGGCTCCTGGTTTACTTACGTCTTTCTCTGGTTGCGTTATCGATCTTCTTCGTGTGCTGTGCAATACAAAACTGCTTTACTCTACTCCTTTCACAGAGATCTTAACTATTCCACATACAACTAAGACCAACCTAATGTGTCTTTGTGCTGCGCTTCAAAGGTGTGTTAGTTTGTGCTAACATAGAACACACCATTGTCAGTCTATTGATTCTTTCATTGAGTTCTCAGGAATTGATTAGGTGCTAGGTGGGGTGTTTCTATTCCCTAGCCTTCGTTGCTACTGTACGCCTTTGATTGGAGCTTTATTTGGCCGGAATCTATTTTTCAGTCCAGTTGATTTCTTACGCCATGGTCACATTATTGATCAATTGATAGACACTAGCGAATTACCATTTTCTTTGGATATCAGGAGAGCGAATACGGACGAACGAACACGATGGCGTATTCTCCTATCGGCAGAGCGTTACTGGATGATTAAGTCAGCATTCCCAATGCCTTACAATAGCACGATGCCTTTCAAAACAAGCTGTTTAAATACGGTTTGCATTACCAGTGATACCAACTTATTGGATACAGCCGACTCTTCCGAGCACAGAATAGGTAACCGAAAAAGCTATTGGACTGTAACGCCCTTTCGGTGCCTAGTTGCTATGCCATCCGGAAGAGGCACGAGGGCTGGGATACTGCCAGGTTGCCCAAGCCTCATCATCACCGTCAGCTGCAAGAACCACGTACGTTGCCCAAGCCTCATCATCACCGTCAGCTGCAAGAACCACGTACAGTCGTACAGTGGTTGTAGCTGCCACAGTTTCGTCTGGGTTCACCAAGTCTTGCAGTAACATTTTGCCCAAGCCTAGACAGGAGAAGTTGAGATGCAGAGGTTGGGTTCGACACACGGACCACCCGGTCAGTAAATGGGTGCTTTAATCACTGAGCCATTTTGGGGCAGTTGAATTTTTGGGCCGCCATTGTTTCAGCCCAACTTACCGGGTAGGATAAAATCATTTTTGGTCAGAAGGTGATGAATATGCTCAGGGACGAAACCCGGAATCCATAGGAATGTGCCTTGGACTGACCGATATAAACTTAAAAAACGGAACGTAGGTGTGGCGATTGCATGAAACTATCCCAAACTACCGTCCCACCTTTTCTATTTCGAATTCCGGCTATTTTTTCCCAAAACCTCTACAAACAGCATCACGGTCTTTTTTCATTTCTGGATAATATTTTGACGGATTTTCGGATTCCTGTTTTGTGGTTGCCACCTACTACGTCTTGGAGTGTTTTTTGAAAATCTTTCTAGCCATATAAACTCGGCATACTAGTATGGTCTGTTGTTCTGAACCAGGGTGAGATTAGTAGTGGGAGTTATCCAGTTCAATAGCTCCTGTTCCTGGTGTGGAAGGTGAAGCTGCGGCTTTGTATTGTTGAAGCATGCGATCCATCCCGTCGCATGCTCGTGGCCACAGTGAGCACTACTGATTGTTCCACTATCCGAATGTACATGACGGAGTCCTCAATACCTATCGGTGTTGCTGATTCGCTCACTCGGTGAGCGGGGTCAACATCCCAAACTGGCACACTTGGATAAAAATACTTCATTCCGTAAGAGGGAATACCCATTGCGTCTCGATGGGCTCGATTCACCTAAGAGTGTTTTGTTACCAGTAATGTTGGTTGCAGAACAATCAGCCCTCATTTTTTATGAATTCACACAGTCAGGTGATGGGGAATAGGGATCGGCGTTCGGCATTCCAATAAATGCAGCCCTACATCGGAATGGTTATCGTAGCATCCCATTGCATTGCTATGAGTGGGTGGTAGGATTAGATGCTTTAGCAGAACCAGCTCTTCACACGCCTGACTTCATCTGTTCTTTCTCGTGATTTCCTTAAATTGGTCGACTTGCAGTAACGATCTCAGTCCCATCCATGTGATTCCAGCTCACCAAGTGAGGAAATCTACGACACCAAAACCAAGTCGCTGATTGCCTTAAAACGGAAATAAGAAAGGTTCCATCGAAATTTCATCCAGATACCCACGGGAAGCACCTCAAAGGGATTTGTAGAGCTGAACGGTGACATTTCGTTATTGAACTCCTTCCCCGAAGAACGGTACGACAAGGTGACCCCATACTTCTACCGCAGCGATATTCCAACTTCATTAGTTTTCTGTCACATTCCTGTTTCGTTTTTATTGTTGCCCATCACCTTTTGACCGAAAATTCCATTGGATCTACTATTCAGTGCACAAGATGAGTGGTCTTATAATTTCATGCGGGGATGTGTTTCAGCATGCTAAACAAAACTACCAGTCGTGCTTCGAAGATTATTTATATGACTGAAAGGCAGGGAGAGAATTGTTGCATATTAAATATTATATGATTATGTATTGCGCTTCACTGAGAATAAGATACAGTGACTTCTTCCGCGCATGCATCGATCCTACTCACGTATTGAGCACTTGTTTTTTTCTGTTTTAAGTTAGCGGTCCTTTGGTTGAACCAGTGGTTTCTTGTAGAGTCGTGGATGCTTAACCTGCTTCAGTGTGTTGGAAGTTTTCCGAGGCCGAATTTCCCACATAGCCTCTTACTCAACTCACATTCATACAGTGTTGCCATACTAAAGCACTCGATCACGATAAACGATGCAAGAGAGGCCTGTTGCATTTGTGTGACGTAGGCGTGATTCCACCGGATCGAAACACTTGTAGCAGATTGTGTGCATTATACTTGCTCCTGGTCATGTGAAGAGATACATATGTCTGCGTCATCAACCAGCAAACTCAATCGTGCGGATAGTTAATATCTTCCTAGGTGGGGTCTCAGGGACGGTTAAATGGTTGTAAGGCCGAAAATTACGATCCACCTACGCAGCCAGCAATTATCCCATTACTTTCAGTTCGCATATACCTTGATGTGGATTAACAAAGTGTCTTAGTTTGTGCCTTCGATCTAAAGCTTGGCGCCAATAGTCTTTACTGAACTGGTGCATGTTGAGTCCGGCGGTAGTCGGTCTATAGCTGGTGCACCGCGCTATGTTTTGTCTTTGTGGCCCACTGGTTGCTCTACTTTCGTCGTTGGATTTAAAACTGACTTTAAGATTGTTACTTTTCGTGCGAATCTTTACCACTTCCACGTAGTACCTATTGGTTTCGCATAACTGTTTGTGTAGTCCTGCAATACGTCCATGTCGAATCGTCTTATTTGTGGACGAGTTGTGCCAACATCAGATGTGACAGGCGCTGTGTATAATTGGGCGCTATTTGCGCCGACCACCTCAGAACGGCGGAAAGGTTTGTTTTCTGTTGGGAAACCTGTATCTTATTTTCTTTTTGAAACTACATTTGCAACTTTTTCATCACCAAGCCCGATACCGGTATTTCGTTGCCAGGTGCGAAACATGAAATGGTTGGGGTTCCGGGTTCCCCTGGGTATCGTGAACCAAGCTCACCAGACGAATCAACTGTACCCGTTTGCTGTGTCGCTGATCGAGAGTGTACGGACCTACGAGAGCACATGCATTAAAATCGAAGAACATCAGCGCCAAAACATCGGTCTTCTGTGCGCTGGTTTGCGACGTGACGCGCAACTATTCATCTTGGAGGGAATGAATCTCATCTGGGAATCGTACCGGCTCGGTGTATATGTTCAGAAGTTCTCTGAAAATATGCTACAATTCCAAGAAAAGGTTGATGATTTATTGCAAACGACACGTGAAATCGATCTCCAAGTTAAATCGCTCGAAACCTGTGTCTACTCCAAGGCTGTTTTTGAAGAGATCATAGGTAATGGGCATTTTTCCGGGTCATGTTGAAATCCTTCTGTATTTATCAAGTGGGCTGCTTAGGTGAAATATATAGACCCTCTATTACCTATTTATGCGTGCGTATTTCATTGGTCAAGTGCTTATTAAAGCACCTACTGTGTACCTGTTGACCTTGTTGGGATCAGCAGCATGCTCCCGCCCAACAAAAACAGTAGTTTGACCAGGTTACGAGGTTATCTCACCGAATGCGAGGTATGCATTCCACATAAACTCAGCTTTAGTGTAATTTCACGCGCTTGCTCTACTATTAAAATCTGTGGGATGAATACTAACGACAGACTTGCTTTCGTGCTTTCTTTTGATTATAAGAAGTGTGATCCTTTTAGAGTGTATTGAACAGGCTGGCATATCAATTAGTAGTCTAACCTTTTCTGGGTTTTCTTCGAGTTCATGGTGCCATAGGAATTTAGTGGATACGTATAAACTAGTCTGATTGCTTATCCTTAGGGTTAGTCACAAGGGACGCCCCAACTCTCACGCTGGACTGGATTGCTTCGATCCTCAACAGCTTACTTAGTTCGGAGACGTGCAGTAGGTCGATGACTACCTTGGAGTGTTCCGGCATTACAAGTGCTCGTATTTCTCATGGTATACACCCCATCTAGGTAAAATTCAAAAAGCTGTGGATGAGCTCAATCTCCATCAATACTCCAATCTTCCACAGTGGGTCTCAAGGTTAGACGAAGAGGTTGAGCGCAGGTTGGTGGTTCGGCTTGAAGCCGGTGTGCGTGAGTGGACACGAGCTCTTCGGGGTGAGAAGTCGGAAGCTGAGGTAAGTAGTGATATGATTCTCATCCGCACCCATGATATCAACTTTTCGCCGACCGTTCCCACTTATCCGGCAAATTGTGTAAGTGGGTTCCGAACATCGAAATACATTCACCCCTCGGGTGCATTATTACTGCGTCATATAATACTCTTCTGTATTAAGTATGATTACTTTTAGCGATGCAGGATCTGTTTACTACATTTCCCTTATTTATTATCGTTACAGTCAATTCTTTCTATTATCAGATGAGCGTTGCAGGTCACCGAGCTGACTTGACCTTTGCACAATGGCTGTCAGCCACTGGAAGACAAATTGACCATACGTTTTGGACAGCTGATCTGAGAGCGCCCGTATGGTTATATCACGCCATTATGGGTTTCGTAGAAATTTCGGTACGAGCAGAGTCGGTTGATTGCTGGGCTTTCTTGTTCCAGGATGAATACGACATTAAGAAGCGTTATCCGTTGAACACATTCCGCCGCGCTGAAAACTGAACCCAAAAATTCTTACTCGCTGAGTTCACGAAATCGTCTTTGCTCAATGATGGCCGTACCAACCACGCCTTTTCATTTTCGCTTCGGACAAATGCATATGAACTTATATACGTTTGGATTTGTCGTAGATAATCTTCATGGGAAGATCTTAACCTGACTGTCATCAGCTTCGCGAGTGAATGGAATAGGGTATGAGGCTCCGTTTATCTGTTTACTGGAAGCTAGTCTTGATGGACTTAGCACCGTGATACGTGTTTTGGATGCACTGGGAACCATGGGTAGTCTTCTGCCCTCTTATTTTTTGTCGTAGTGGATTGTGTTTTATTCGGACGTCTCCTGAGTTGGATTTTTCGGCTAGAGGCCTCTGGTGGGACACCTTAAGCTAACTCTGGGCCCCAGCAACGGAGAAGCATCACACTTTACAACTATGGATGTGCAGTTAATGGTATTCGGTTGATACAAAACGCTTCAAAATTGGAACTAAACGGATAGGTTCTCCTGATCATCTTGCTTTCGGAGGCACGAGGGCTGGGGTACTGTCAGGTCGCCCAAGCCTAGACAGGGGAAGTCGAATGACGGAGGTCGGGTTCGAACCACGGACCTTCCGATCAGTAAATTCGCCCTCTAACCACTTGGTCCATCTCGCCCCATCTTGCTTTCAACGCCACTGAAAAAAGTTTCCAAATTTTGCTCTGCAGTTCGCTGTCCATGCAGGCGTTTTCCACATCCTTTAACCCTTGTTATGATTTCACCTGGTTGCTTATGCTGTTCGAGCGGTTTTGCTTAAATTCATGCAATGTCTTAACTCGGTTGAATCTTGATTGTCGAAAAACCGCTTTTGTGACTCCATCACTATCATTATGGAAGGCTGTTGTTATAAAGCTGGATAGCTCAGTGGTTGGGGTGCGAACTTACAGACCGCAGAGTCCATGGTTCAAACCTAGCTTCCTCATTCCTACTGCTCCTGTCTAAGCTTAGGCGTCTATCGTCGTCATCAAAGACAGCAACATCAGTCAGTGCACTGATGTTTCACTGCTGTACAACCATAAGGTTCGCCTAATTATATTTAAAAACCTAGAGTGAAAAGAAGAGGAAAAGAGTGGGTGAGAGAGGGGACTGATACTGGCCTACGTCGACCGTTCTAAGGTGCCTACACCCCCAACTGCTCAATCAGACAATCTGGAAAGAAACTGACAGCACGAAGGTCACTGACATCGATTAGCCGCCATTTATTGGAACGTCTGCAGCCAAGCACAGGTGGGGTCACAGGGGACCCCATCCTGGAAGGCGTACAACACCAACAACACCTAAACTCTTCATGATCTCTTTCCTCTTTTCCGCCAACTCATGCGTTGTCCAACTCGCGGTTTGCGCCCTTCTGAAGGAGGCACTGAGAGCAACGCTCATTTCGGTAGACGGTGTTTTGGCATGCGTAGCACATGACCGAGCCATCACAGTTGCTGATGCTGGGTGTTTTCCCCGATGGGAGTACCTGTCGCACAACCAAATACCTGTTTTCTAGTCACCTCATCACTAACACGCTGACGCCATCCAAAACCAGCCACGCTTTTGAAGCAACGGTGGTCGAAAACCTGAAGACGCCTCGCATCATCTGTCCACAAAGACCACGTCTCGCACCCGCACAACAACACTGCCCTTACCATAACCTGGCACACAGCCATTTTGATCCCTGATTATTTCGGTGACAAGAGGTTTTCGAGGACCAGTCAAGCGAATCAAGTGTAACAGCTGTGGACGTTTCCAGCATTCTTTGCATCCTCCATTTCTTCAGCCTTTCGGGTCCACCAAGCTTCTCGGTCTGCAATGGTACTTCAGTTTCACCTGGCGTCGGATGATGCGTCGGGTGGAGTTGTGATTGCGGCCAAGAGGGATCTGTCGCCGGGTCTCCAGCACAGACGCGTTCCTATCAAAGAGGTTAGCTGAGTTGTACTGCAAACAACGTTCCGGCTTTGAGCGGCGTTTTGGATATCTTTTCCCAATGGCCGTCTATATACGACATCGCACCGTCCGACAAGCCTTCCAGGAGCAAGCGTGGCACTCGACTTTTTTTTAGCCTTTTATCTTTTTTTCAGCTGGTTTCAAAAGTTGGTGTTCAGTGGATACCCTTTTTATCCAAGGTTCTGCTATGAAAATTTTCTCACTCCATTGATTATTTACTTCAAATGGTCTTGATTATTTCCACCATGTGTGTTTTGTAGAACGACGATGACGCCCAAGATACACATTCCAGTCAGCAGTCCAAAAACCCTTTGGGTGGGGAACCGAAACTGAAGATGATTGTGCACGAGTTACGCATCACAAACCAACAGATGCATCTCCACCCCAGTATCGAAGTGGCCCAGCAGGAGTTACTGCTTAGTCTGGGCTCCTGGGAAGGTATTGTTTTAAATCTACCTCGAATCCAACACTCACGATATCAGGTTAGTTTGATACTGGCCTACGTCGACCGTTCTAAGGTGCCTACACCCCCAACTGCTCAATCAGACAATCTGGAAAGAAACTGACAGCACGAAGGTCACTGACATCGATTAGCCGCCATTTATTGGAACGTCTGCAGCCAAGCACAGGTGGGGTCACAGGGGACCCCATCCTGGAAGGCGTACAACACCAACAACACCTAAACTCTTCATGATCTCTTTCCTCTTTTCCGCCAACTCATGCGTTGTCCAACTCGCGGTTTGCGCCCTTCTGAAGGAGGCACTGAGAGCAACGCTCATTTCGGTAGACGGTGTTTTGGCATGCGTAGCACATGACCGAGCCATCACAGTTGCTGATGCTGGGTGTTTTCCCCGATGGGAGTACCTGTCGCACAACCAAATACCTGTTTTCTAGTCACCTCATCACTAACACGCTGACGCCATCCAAAACCAGCCACGCTTTTGAAGCAACGGTGGTCGAAAACCTGAAGACGCCTCGCATCATCTGTCCACAAAGACCACGTCTCGCACCCGCACAACAACACTGCCCTTACCATAACCTGGCACACAGCCATTTTGATCCCTGATTATTTCGGTGACAAGAGGTTTTCGAGGACCAGTCAAGCGAATCAAGTGTAACAGCTGTGGACGTTTCCAGCATTCTTTGCATCCTCCATTTCTTCAGCCTTTCGGGTCCACCAAGCTTCTCGGTCTGCAATGGTACTTCAGTTTCACCTGGCGTCGGATGATGCGTCGGGTGGAGTTGTGATTGCGGCCAAGAGGGATCTGTCGCCGGGTCTCCAGCACAGACGCGTTCCTATCAAAGAGGTTAGCTGAGTTGTACTGCAAACAACGTTCCGGCTTTGAGCGGCGTTTTGGATATCTTTTCCCAATGGCCGTCTATATACGACATCGCACCGTCCGACAAGCCTTCCAGGAGCAAGCGTGGCACTCGACTTTTTTTTAGCCTTTTATCTTTTTTTCAGCTAGTTTCAAAAGTTGGTGTTCAGTGGATACCCTTTTTATCCAAGGTTCTGCTATGAAAATTTTCTCACTCCATTGATTATTTACTTCAAATGGTCTTGATTATTTCCACCATGTGTGTTTTGTAGAACGACGATGACGCCCAAGATACACATTCCAGTCAGCAGTCCAAAAACCCTTTGGGTGGGGAACCGAAACTGAAGATGATTGTGCACGAGTTACGCATCACAAACCAACAGATGCATCTCCACCCCAGTATCGAAGTGGCCCAGCAGGAGTTACTGCTTAGTCTGGGCTCCTGGGAAGGTATTGTTTTAAATCTACCTCGAATCCAACACTCACGATATCAGGTTAGTTTGGTTTATGCACCGTTCCCAATTAATCATGACATATACTCTAAACTGCTGTCTGCATTTGCGTCTCGGTATTTGATGATTGAGCCGGAATATCCCGCTTTACTCATCACAGTGATACGAGGCTTCAATCAGTGCATTTACATACCCCTTATTGCTTACGCGAACTACCGGGGTTGATTTGTGTCTCTTTGGCCTAGTTTTTGTGCACTATTTAATTTTGTGAAATATCTGGTTCATCCGTAGGTCGGCTTGGAAGTTGGAAGCGATGTACACAAGAACTACAAGAAAATTTTACACAACTTGGACAGGGCAGACGAAGCTTTGGAACAAGCACACCAGGCCATTTTGGATGTGGTCAGCGAGGCCCGCGAATATGTGAAGACGTGGACAAGTTACCAAGCACTGTGGGATCTACAGAGTGATCAGGTCTATGGCCGTATAGGAACGGATACTCGGGTAAGTAACAGTTCTATCAATGTCTTTATGTATTGAATTTAATCTATTTAATCTGTTTGTATTGTCCGGTGTTTGTCTATTCGCTCCAAGCTAACAGTATTCTTCTCATCCTAGGTTTGGATGAATGTTCTAGATGAGATCAAAAGCATGCGTCAACATTTCGATGTCGCCGAGAGTCAAAAAGAATTTGGACCGATCGTCATTATGTTTGGCAAGGTGCAGTCGAAGGTTTCTCTGAAGTATGACAATTGGCATAAGGATATTCTCAGTAAATTCGGTAACCACCTGGGTACAGAAATGCAAGAACTGTACAACGAAGTCTCAAAGGTGGGTCTTCGAGTTGCTTTTTTGCATTCCTGTCATGTCATGTGAGAACACTGGGGGAGCCACCAATGTCTGCACGTTTGGTGGGATTTTTGTTCGAATAGTGAAGGTTCTTCCCCTAACGCGTACCTTCTTCTCGAATGTATTACAGATATCAAGGGAACACTTTACCGTATCCAGTATAACTATGTTCAAGGGAATACCGACAAAGACTGCTTCTTTACCCAAGTGACTATTTTAGAACGAGCAAGTTACTTACTTCAGAGAAGTGTTATCAAGATAGCTCCATAAATTGACCTGTCTAGCTCTAGTATCATAGAAAACGTGATGCGAAACTACCGGGAATCAACGCAATATCTCATATGGCTGTTTTAAAAGCCGGAAACCGAATTTCCGAAACAGTTGTTAATATCTATGGATTGTTCGGATGGACGGAGTACCTGTGGTCGCCCTTTTGGGCCAGGGGCTTTCGTCGAGGTTTGCACGCTCCAGCGCTATCCCGACCCGCACACAACGTAGCGAAGCGTCAGTTGCAAAATTGTTCTTGCTGTTTGTGATGGGGTGATGATGCTGATAATGCTGCTGGACGGCCTGTAGGCGATAGGCCGATTATTGGTCGTTAATTCTTATGTTCTCATAATTCTAAATGGTATTTTCAGTGTACGAACAGTAGGCATATGAGCAAGGTTTGTTCAGATCGCTTAAGGCCTAACCATAATCTCTTCGCTTCAGTCGGAATGTTTGGGAGTTATCTGTGCGTACCACTAGAATGAGTTTTCCACTTCAACGAAGCTAACAAGTTGTTCGTAACAGGATTACACTGTAAGAGGTTTTGGGCGAACCCTGAAGATCGCTTTCTGTCATACTAATAACCGTCCTTTACTTCTCACGTCTCCCTGACAGGCTCGACTGGATATGGAACAACAAACAGTAGAAGCCGGTAGCACCAGCGAAGCAGTGAATGCCATCACCTACGCACAAACCGTGAAACGAAAAATGAAGGCCTGGGAAAAACAGGTGGAACTCTATCGGACCGGTCAGAACATCCTGTATCGTGATCGATTCCAATTCCCTTCTGGATGGTTAGACTCTGAAAATATCTTGGGTGAATGGAGTGCGTTCCAGGAAATTTTGCGCAGAAAGGAAACTGCTATTAGTTCACAGGTATGTATTTCGCCTTTTATTTGTTCACCTTACTACGCTTGTTTGTCTATCTTGTATTGATAGCGTGTCTTTCTTCATACATACAGGTTGCAAGTTTGCAGATGAAAGTGGTTGCTGAAGACAAGGTAGTTGAAAACAAAACGACAGAGCTGCTTCTTAATTGGGAGAAAGAGAAGCCAGTAGAAGGTGATATCAAGCCTGAAGAGGCCGTCAATCTGCTGACCATTCTCGAAGGCAAATTCATCCGTTTGCGCGAAGAACGCGAAAACATCCAGCGTGCCAAGGAGGCTCTGGAATTAACGGAATTCGGTGTAGCCTCCCCAAGTGAGCAACGTGTGCAAGTGGCCATCGAAGAGCTTCAGGTTTGTTAATCTCAGTGGTTTTTGTCCTCATGCCCTTTTCCCTCGGGTCGAATTTTTAAAAAGTCCATTCTGATGGTTTAAAACGAGTCTGCGTGAATGGGGCCAGTTGGACGTTTCTGGTTAATCGGTTGTCAGTATCCGGGAAATTGACTGTCATTTTAAGCTGGTTCAGTGCATGCAGTTCAGGATTACGAAAGTGATCTGCATCAGGGTCCGAACAGTTTAGCCTTCCTAGTCTTAAATAAGTCAATTAAATCAGCTGACTACAAACCCCTTGTTAATGTCCATCCTGTACCCTTCCCCGGTAGAGAGATACTGCAAATGCGAACCAGGTGTTTATATGTGACAATAAATTGTCGGAAACCTACCTGGCTGTCGTCTGAACATGTGTGAGTGCCCTTGACAAACAGGCTTTTTACGCCTTATGTTCGTTTATCTAGAGCTGTACGTTTCAACTGTTCTCTACAATCAGCATCTTGTCTTGTGTGTTTAAAGGACTTGAAGAATGTTTGGCTCGAGCTGTCAAGGGTTTGGGAACAGATTGAAACCCTGAAGGAAACCCCATGGCAAACTGTGCAGCCGCGGAAACTGCGTCAGCAACTTGACACAATGGCAAATCAGATCAAGGAACTACCCACTCGGTTACGTCAGTATGCATCGTACGAACATGTGAAACGCACACTGCAAAGTTACGCAAAGGTTAATGTACTCGTGGTTGAATTGAAGTCGGAGGCTCTGAAAGAACGCCACTGGAAGATGCTAATGAAAAAACTAAATGTCGACTGGACGATGTCGGAACTAACTCTGGGGCATGTCTGGGACATTGATTTGCAGAAGAACGACTCCGTTATTCGGGAAGTCCTGTTGATTGCTCAAGGTGAAAAGGCGCTGGAAGAATTCTTGAAACAGGTACGATATTCCACTAATATGACTGACAGGCAAAACTCACTACAGTGGCATCTGCTGATGATTGGTCTCGCTTTGTTTTCAGGTCACTGAAGAATGGAAGAACTACACACTGGATCTGATTAGTTACCAAAACAAGTGCAGACTAATCAGAGGCTGGGATGATCTTTTCACCCGGGTCAAAGAGCGCATAAACAGTCTAACGGCTATGAAAATGTCTCCTTACTTCAAGGTACTGTAGGTTTTTTGTCACAGTTTATTCGCACCGCGTTTTTCATCTTTCACTTCTTCCTATATACCAGTTTGTACATTCGCTTGTGTTTTTCCGCTCTGTAGCAATTCGAGGAAGAGGCGCTTGCATGGGAAGACAGACTCAATCGAATCAATGCGCTGTTCGACGTTTGGATTGACGTCCAACGGCGCTGGGTCTACTTGGACGGCATTTTCGCCGGTTCGGCGGATATTAAAATTCTTCTCCCTCAAGAATCCCAGCGATTCCAAAGTGTGAGCACAGAATTTCTGGGACTTATGAAGAAAGTTGCTAAGTCTCCACTGGTCATGGATGTGCTTAATATTTCCAAGGTCGATCGTCAACTCGAGCGACTGGCCGACCTGTTGTCAAAGATTCAACGCTCCTTGGGTGAATATCTAGAGAGACAGCGTTCCTCTTTCCCCAGGTAAGCTGAAGGGCTAATCACTTTCAGTTCGATTACTAATGCAAGAGCAACACCCAAAAGTCGTAGTTGCAATATGATAGAAGTACTATTGGATAAAACACTAAGTTTCAATCTATCCGTCTTTTGAGCGCTCCATTACCAAGGTTAGTGGACTAATTTCTGACGTCCAGTAGATGATAGCCTGTTGTGCGGTCATCTCAATGGGTAATATCATACCATCATTCTCGAAACTACTCCGTCAGCAATCGGGAGTGGGACTTAGCTGCCATCCCTGATTAAGATTTGAAAGAGAAAAACATCCATTTGGCCACAGCTAAAATGGTAAAGATCAAACTACCAAGGCCTTACAATGGAAGTTCTCGTTGCAGAACCGAAAACCCCCATTCTAATAGCCTCGTTACGGATTCGCTGACACTAGCCCACACGACCTATGGTTCTGAGACATCGGTTGTCTAACATCTGGAGGCGTCTCAGTTCCGCTGTCCGAACTGGCCAAGTCTCACAGTCATAAAACGGAACAGCCAGCACTGTGGTCCGATACATACAGTGCCTTATAATGTCCGTTTCTTTAAACTGCCCGGTGGTTCTTCGAAGAACACATTAGGTGGCTCGTAGGGATGTTCGACAGGGTCGATTCTGCACATATCTTTTTGAGAGTGCTTGTGTTCGATTGTTTCAATTGTGCTCTGCCATTCTTTATGTTAGCCAAAAGTGATGCCCTTTCCGTAAATCGCACTACCTTTCATACAGATTCTACTTTGTTGGTGACGAGGACCTGTTGGAAATCATCGGTAACAGCAAAAACGTACCGCGTTTACAAAAACACTTCAAAAAGATGTTTGCTGGCGTGCATTCGATCAAGTTAAATGAAGATAGTACCGAAGTGTTAGGGTTGTGTTCGAAAGAAGGCGAAGAAGTTATATTCATTAAACCGGTGTCAATCAAGGATAACCCAGTAATCAACGACTGGCTCACTCTGTTGGAGCGAGAGATGCGTGTCTCACTGGCGACCTACTTGGGCAAAGCAATTCAGGATTTGCAGGTTCGTTGTCAGACGTCTTTACTCCATCCCTTTGCCTATTCGTTCGTCACTTCTCTTCCATTTTGGTACTTCCACCTAGACTGTTCCACGTATTACGCTGTTCTGATGCTTAACTGCCTGCTTAACCGCCCGCTTGCCTATTGCAAATTCTCTAACCTTAAGTTAACTCACTTCGACGCTCAATCAAACAGAAATTATTTCCTCCCTTACCTATGTACGTAGACCTAGAAGCTGTTCACACCCAATCCTGTTTTCGGTAACACATTTTTCGATTCAATTTCGGTTAGAATAACTAAGGAAGATAGCCTTCCTGGAGAAGTCTGGAAACTGGCGGTATCGGTTAGGTGCTTTCGTTGTTCGGGCGATGCCTCGCAACAGTGTCCATCTAGATCAAACAACACTCCTCATGCGTTTCTCCACTACCAGGCTTCTGAATGCACTTTTAGTAAATCAAGTGAAATGAATAAAGCGGCAAAGCTCATCAGTGCTTGTTGGTGTGGTTACCAGAATTGTCAGTCCTAAGGAGAGATATGTGAATGAATTTTCAAGGGTCAGGGCGCCATCAACTCATTTAGCCTTCTGTTTCTGACGGATCTTCTAACATCAAGTGAATGAGAAATCAAATTATTCGGTCCTCAATGCTTTGCATGTATGTTACCTGCAATTTATCGCGTAGCTCTTGCGTTTGATTGGCAGAGAAACCAGGTTACCTTTGATCTATTGGACAGTCGTGATAGTTGAGTTCGCATGACTATATATGTTACGCTCTATCCACTCTTAATTTTGAATGTATATGTAGCTTTTGGGAGTTTTGTACGGACCGAATTCGGAGGTAAGTGCTGCTCCTTCTGCATGGAGTTCGCCAGCTTTCGCGTTCCTTGTCTCCAGGTGTTGTTTTTGAATGATTCTTTGTGCTGCCTATGTGCCTACGTTGAGCTCCTTGTATATTTTGCACGCATCACTGCATTTCGTGGTAACTCTGTTCCCTGTTTAAATTGCTTCTATCCATCTCCTGCCCCTCCTGTTACTTTCCTGAGATAGGTCTCGCAACCTACTGCCGTAGCTATTTCTGGTATCTCATTGATCCTTTGTATGGATAGCATTTCACTTAATTTTAATCGCCCGTCACAGTTTTTTGTGTTGAAACTCTCGTGTTGTCTTTAGCATTGGTGACTGCCACTATCATTGGATAATGTGTACTGCTATTGGCTTTCCGATTTTTATCTTTTGGTCGCTTTCTGTATGAGTGCGTTTTCATCCACAAAAGTACATTCCAGGCGATTCTCTGCTTCCTGATCATGGGTGTATATTGTATGCAGAGTCAGTATAGCTTCCTGAGTGAAACGCCAGGTGTCAGTTATAGGGAAGGAAACCTGGCAGACTATTTCAGAACCATCTCGTTTACGAATGATTGACTTACATCACACAAAACCCTGAAACTGTGTTACACAGATGAATTACACATGTGCACACTTGGTGTGATTGAAGACCTTTGTAAAATGGGATGCACGAAATAAATTCTTTAGATGGTCCTTGAAAATGACTCGTTTGCCCTAGAGGCCCACAAAATTCCTACGAAAATTCGCTAATTTCCTCGACTATTTGAGTAAGTCACTCATTTGTCTCTTTGGAAGCCTTCTTTTAGGCCCTGTCCGTTAGTATCTGGAAGCCACGAACTTGTTTCAACGCTAAATGGTTCGTAACATGCTCAATATCGCATCAGTATGCTTGTTAACCAAATACCATCAGTGTGCCGATAATCGGAAGGCAACTTCAGCCTCTTCACCGCTCTCGCTATGATGAAAGCTTAAGTACGTCCATTCTGGCTGCTTAGTGGCACTGGACAGGCAAGCAGTAGTTAGCCGATTTTCATCGCTAATGTTGCTGTCTTGTGGATGAAAATAATTATGGTACGATATTAATGAGCGCATAATCGCATCGTTATTGCCACACTGCACACAAATGTGTTCACAATCAGCAATCGTTTTCTCTGAAGCATCATCTGGGTTTAGCAGGAGAGTCGAATTAACCTGGCTGGATTACGTCAAATGGCTTAGCTGAGCAAGATGAAAGACCTGGTCACACCGGATCTTGCTCACCTCGCTGGTAAAAGACCGCCCGGGTGGGGAATCCCACTTCAATAAACTTAATCGTTTCGGAACCTGGAGGCAGATTTCAGCAACAGGCACAGAATGGTGGGAATGTCGTGAGCTATGCTCCGATTACTTAGTCCATCATGCTCCCGTATGAATTTCGGTATGTTGCTATTCTTGTTATTCCAGAAGAATAGCCTAGCGGTTGAATTTCTGCTCTTTGTCTCTTTACCGATTCTATTCGGAACTGGCGTTCCGCACCACCACCTTCAACACATGGGTGTCGTTTTCATATTGATCGTTCGGCTGTAACCCTTCCGGTGCTTAGCTGCCATGCCACTCGAAGGAAGCACGAGGGCTGGGATAATGCCAGGTTGCTAAAGCCTAGACAGGGGAAGTCGAGAGGCAGAGGTCGGTTCTGAACCATGGACCTTCCGTGATCCCCGTACGGGGAACTAAAATATCTGCAACTATCATGCACTTCGTGCATGCTCCATACTAAAGCTCCAGGACAAAAATCAGAATTTAAGTGTATGGCAGCTCCATCTGTTGGTAAAAGCTGAGAATTACAATGAATAAGTCTGACATCCAAATTTAACCGATTCTGCTCTTTCCGCTTGTGTAAGTATAAAAAGGACAAAAACGTCATCAACGCATTCTTGCACATTTCATTCAAAACACTAAGCTAGTTTCCAGTGATTAGTGTTGTCCTGTTTTCAGAGACCAGACCCTGTCTATCTGGGGTATGATTTCGTCGGCTTCTTATCTTCCATATTATTTACAACTTCTTGGAGTTAGGTTTCGTATCTTGAGGTGGCAATTTCCTGTTTATCTTTAATGAATCGAAGTTAATTCAGCCCAATCGTAGCCCACTACATTACGGCAAATGGCGAGCTGCCGACTGAAACTGCGTCGAGTTTTTGGCTTATTGTGTACAAAGAGTGACTGAAAATTCCGACACGCTGCTGATACGTTTGCTTATCTCATCCTGTCTGATTGAATTCCTTTCGTCGCCCAGTAGGACTATGTCACGCCACCTCGCACTTTTTCAGTGACACGGGTTACTTTTCCAATCACTGCTGGCTGATTTGGAAAACCATGTGAAGGTAGGGAAACGGCACATTAAAACCAGTCACTGAAATATCATATCAGCTACTTGTATGCTTTCATCAACTTTGTTCATTTCGCTGTGACATGACCTGCTGTTCTAGGTCGTAGTTTTTGTACTCATTTTGGTTAAGTCGCGTTTCAACAAGAATAACTACCTCTTTTAGAAACTTCGCGCATCCGGCGATTTGGAAAAGACCGGTTTTCTGGATTGGCTTGATCGCTTCCATGCACAGTTGGTGGTTCTGGCCGCACAGGTTATTTGGTCCGAATCTGTGGATGCAGCCCTAGCGGCGATGGATGGCAAACCGTCAAAAGACCCCGAAAGTCCACTGCACAAGTGTCTTGCTTCTGTGGAGAATATGTTGACCGTGTTAGCTGATTCGGTTCTTTACGAACAGCCTCCAGTACGACGTAGGAAACTAGAGCACTTGATTATTGAACACGTACATCAGCGAGATGTCATCCGCACATTGATACAGAACAATGCTAACTCATCACGGTCATTCGATTGGTTGAGTCAAATGCGGTTCTATTTTGACCCGAAACAAACCGACCCTCTACACCAGGTTTCCATACAGATGGCAAATACCAAGTTCCAGTACGGATTCGAATATCTTGGTGTCATCGATCGACTAGTTCAAACCCCTCTTACAGACCGATGCTATCTGACGCTTACACAAGCTCTGGAAGGGCGACTTGGTGGCTCACCGTTTGGACCTGCAGGTACTGGTAAGACGGAGTCGGTGAAAGCATTGGGCACTCAACTTGGTCGCTTCGTTCTGGTGTTCAATTGCGATGAAACCTTCGATTTTCATGTACGTCATAGTTTCATTTCTTCGCTTCGTTTCATGTTCTTATTCCGTACAATGAACACGGCTTTGCCGATGATATTCAACTCAGTTCTTATCAGGTTTTTTAATTACGAACCACGCATGGTGGTCACGGTTCGCTTCCGATCATTACTGGAATTTTATTGGCCGTTGAACATATCAAATTTGAACCTTTGAAAACTCTAATCATATGTTATTCGTGGCGAGATTCATCAATATTAGATGGGGTGTGTCGTAGACCCGTTAACTTGATCGTTAGGTTAGTCAGCACAACATCCCGACGTTTACTACCTGTATGCCTCTGTCTTCGGTTATGATGACAACGGGGAAGGCCAAGTATCAAGTTTAAAAGGACTGTAAGACGCCTCAGTAGTCCTTTCAACTTCACTGTGATGCCCCTATCCGTCGAAACGCCCATGCAATTCGTTTCAAACTATACGAGCATGTCTACGGCACTGTAATTTTTCCTCCACTTTGTCGGCTGATCTTGTAAACAAATTGTGTTGCGCCCCCTGGTCTACCGCATCTGGCACTCTATGGGTATTTGCCCGAGGGAGCCAATGGTAATAATGCGACTGCTTCTACTTTTATATCGTTTATTTAGGCGATGGGCCGCATTTTTGTCGGTCTATGCCAAGTTGGAGCCTGGGGTTGTTTTGATGAATTCAATCGATTGGAAGAACGTATGTTGTCAGCTGTGTCCCAGCAGATACAGAGTATCCAGGAGACTCTACGTGATATGGCTTGCGGAGCCAAAACGGCAGGAAAAGACGGTGTTACGGTCGAACTGCTCGGAAAACAGGTGAGTACTTCATGGGGTTGGTATTACCGAGTATTTTGTCCACCTACTCACTTCGATAAAGTAGTCAGAATCAAGAGTAGCTTGACTCGGAAAGGATCATGTCCCTTTAGCCCTGGGTTCTGAGAAATCATTGCTCCACCGTTCCCTCTCAGTTCTACAGCACCTCTACCTCCATTCACCACGCGGTCTGCCTCTTTGACGCGCATATTTTCCACTCTCATTTTATGACGCTCTTACCAAGCGTATTACTACCTCCGCTACTACTTTACTGCCGCTGAGTGATACTTGCGAATCTTGTGTATTACTTCGTTTGGAACAGACACTTCGAACACAAGTGCTTAACTTATTTGTGTAGATCAGTTATTAGTCAAAAGAAAAACGGTTCTCATGAGCACACAAGTGGGCTCATTCTTTCTCGACTTCCTTCGCGGCAGTTCAGCACGGCAAAAACTGCTTTTAAGATGCCACGGAGACCTGCAAATACACCTGCCAGCTTCCTTATGTCAGAGGAAGAAATGCAGACATCGTTGATTTTGAGTTGACGTGTTGTAGCGAACATTTTAGATTTATTTCTGCGATCCTGATGTGTAGGGTGGTAGCTGCAGAGTCGAATTAATTTGCTCTGACCCTACGGGACCGTCGGACGTACTGCGTCCAGTCAACCATAAAGTCCTCTTTGCGAAACATATTTGTTTCATTCCTTGCCGGTTTCATGGGGAATTAACTCATGTCCAGGTAAGCAGGTCATTTTCTTCTCTGAAACACCTCTTTTCAGAAGCGTGCTGTGCGTCACAATGGAAAGAAGTTTTGCATCCGACCATTTGGTTCCCTTTTTGTGTGCTGCTGTCCCTTATGAGGTGCCACTGCATGCAGCATTGGGTAGACCGAATTGATTCCATGTTTCAAGATGGTCTGAATGTTTGATGCGTTACATTCTTGAAATGCATGTAGTTGACATAGGCCAAATGTTTAATCTCTGGTGCCTGCTAGCCTATCGTAATATATAGCAAAACGGAGTTTTGGTTCCCAATCGGTTGGGGAAAGTTTGGAACTGATTGGAGAGCCATCGTTTCGAAAGGGCTTGGCAAGCAATCAGTATTTTCATAACTTGGCAACTTTTAACTTTTGACACAAAAACTTCGTCAGGCCAAGTGAGTCCAGGTTTTAAGGCAGGCGGAGAACCACTCTAAAGCGAAACGTTGTCCGCTTGTACAACTACCGATTGTTTACCAAACCCTTTTGAGGGTTTTTCATTTTGACTCACATTTCTGTTGGTCTGTACCGATGTGATCAACGATAGACGCTGCTGACCTCATTTTACTCTGTAAGTTTCGGTGTATCTCCTGAAAAAATATATCGTGCCATAACCTATGTTCCTACTTATCCATTCATTGCCATCTGCTTATCTGACTAGCGTCGGCGAGTTATTGGGCTCCATACGAGAGCCTCTACTTGTCCTATTGGTAGTTTAAGCTGTGTTAACATTTTGCTACACCGGTTTCTTTGCCCAGTTGGAATAGCTCAGTCCGGTTTTGCGCATAGCGTCACACGACTTCATCTGTTTCATTGGTCATCTAGGTGACCGTTCATCCAGATATGGCTATTTTCATCACCATGAATCCTGACTACGCTGGGAGATCCAATCTTCCGGACAACTTGAAGAAGCTCTTCCGCTCTCTGGCAATGACTCAACCAGATCGTCAGCTGATAGCGCAAGTCATGTTATATTCCCAGGTAAGTTGCTTCTGTATGTTTTTCTCTATTTGGCTGAGTAGTGTATGTAGCTTGATTACTTTGTAGATAGTCCATTTTTAACAGTTTAATATTTCATTGCATGGCCCTTTGTTTTGTGGTCTACTGACAAAACGCTTTTCCTTTCACCACGTCTCCGGAATTTATCTTTGCCGACGCAAAATGTTTCCGACACTTTGGCACCACATGACATTTCACTACCGCTTCCGGGATGTTTGGTCTGGTCGTGCACAGTGTAGCATTACTTGTCCGTAGGGCAGTGTACTCAAAGTATAGTCGTTTTTCGCGAAAGCATACCGTAACACCTTTGAAAGCTGTTAACGCTCTTGTTGAGTGTCCTGCCGTATTCCCCCTGGTTGGGAATATCTCTACTCATTCGCGATATCTCTTCATATTATCCGTTTCCTTCTACTTAACAGGGTTTCAGGACAGCCGAAGTGTTGGCCAGCAAGATTGTGCCGTTCTTCCAGCTTTGTGATGAACAGCTATCGGCCCAGTCCCACTATGATTTTGGGCTACGTGCTTTGAAGTCCGTTTTGGTATCTTCCGGAAACGTCAAACGAGAACGCATTCGCCGCATCAAAGATGATATTTTGGCCCGCGGTGAAACTGTAAGTACCACGTTTTTAAGTTTTATCTGATTTTTGATTGTTCCGTCACGTTTTATCCGTAAGCCACTGAATTCACCCTGTCTGTCAGATGATTGATTTTCTCACGCAAAGGGAAAACGTGATCTTGACACATCAGCCGTGTTGATTCGTCTCCGGACCGCTTTTAACTCCATATGATTTGTCCAGCACGATCCGTCTGATTTAAAACGACCATAGCTTTAAACAGTTCCTCTCACAGCTTAAGTGTTGGGTTTCTTAGTTTTTCGAGTTGGGGGATTGTAGTGTTAGTTGGCAAGACCGCTGGATAAATCGCGGGCTGAAAATCAGACAGATATTTGTTCAGTTTTGGGTGGCCTTCATGAATGTCAACCAGAAATAGTATTGTATCGTTTGAAGAGACACATACGAGGTCTGATCGGAGTTCCACAACCGTAACCCAACTACTTCCATCATTCAGACAGGTGTCATGGTTCAACTAAATCCCTAGACAGGTTTCCAGCAGTACCTTTAGATACCGCATCACCCCAGTCCCTCGGGTTTTGCATTTTATTTTTGTTGGCTCTCTTAGGTTAACGAATCTTCGATCGCAGAACAATTGCCGGAACAAGAAATCTTGATTCAATCCGTAATGGAAACCATGGTGCCCAAATTGGTTGCTGAGGATATTCCGTTGCTTTACAGTCTCCTGACAGACGTGTTCCCAGGCGTTGTGTACTCCCCATCAGCCATGGAGGGACTTCGTCGAGAGCTGCGTCGTGTTTGTAATGAAACATACTTGGTTTACAATGAGTCGGGTTTGTTCAACGATGCAACTGGTCACGAATCTAACTCAAATATCTCTGGTACCACAGCCGGCAGTCTTTGGGTGCAGAAAGTACTTCAGCTGTATCAAATCACTTGCATCCACCACGGTCTCATGATGGTTGGCCCGTCTGGAAGTGGGAAATCTATGGCTTGGCGTACTCTGCTCAAAGCATTAGAACGGCTGGAAGGCGTCGAGGGAGTTGCTCATGTAATAGACCCGAAATCCATAAACAAAGAATCCCTCTACGGTTATCTCGACCCGAACACTCGGGAGTGGACGGATGGTTTATTCACTCATATCCTCCGGAAGTAGGTAGCAGAGACGTTCATGCGTGTTGTATTTATTGTGAACTTTTATTGAGTTCATCCGCTCAGGCGTGGCTTCGCTAGCCGTTTATGATGCTCCCTGTAATATTTAAACCAGAGACAATTGCCCCCTCTCTCATGATGCTTGCAGTAGTTCAGTTTAAGTTTCCAGCTTATTAAGAGGTTTCATTCAATTGTCCGCACTGATTTGCAGGTAAATTGTGTATAAATTTATAGGTTAACATTTCATTCACAATTCATATGCCGCTGCGTATGAATTTTTCCCAGCTGAGTTTGGACCTGTTCGCTTCATTGTTCTTATTTGCTTTTCTACAGGATTATTGACAGCATTCGTGGAGAATCACTCAAACGCCAGTGGATTATTTTTGACGGTGATGTTGATCCTGAATGGGTTGAAAACTTGAACTCCGTATTAGACGATAACAGATTACTAACCTTACCAAATGGAGAACGGTTGGGTATTCCTCCAAATGTTCGAATCATGTTCGAAGTGCAAGATCTACGTTACGCCACCTTAGCTACAGTCTCGAGATGTGGTATGGTGTGGTTCAGTGAGGATGTGATCCCTCCAGAACTGGCCATGGAGCACTTTATCCGCCAGCTACAGAACGTTCCGATCGATGAGGGTGAGGAAGAGACTGTTGGCTTCGGTTTACCTGTTGTGGCTCCCGAATCTTCTGACCAGGTGCAAAGTCCTGATTTTCAGGATGTGCCTGGAGCATCTCGCGAAACTGGACCAGTTAGCCCCACTCTCCGACTACAATGTGACGTTGCCAGTATACTTCAACCTCATTTCGCGGATGGCGGCCTTGTATCTCGCTGTCTGGCTTATGCCAAAGATCTGGATCACATCATGGATTTCATGCCTCTGCGAGCGTTGACTAGCTTATTCTCAATCATGAAGCAGTGTATTCGAAATATCATGGCGTACAATATGATGCATTCAGACTTCCCTATGTCTGCAGATCAGATTGAATCATATGTAAGCAAAAGTTTGATCAATGCTATTATTTGGTCCATGTGTGGCGACGGTCGTTTGTCGACACGGGAAGAGTTGGGCAATTACTTACGTGAAATCACCACCATCCCTCTACCGCCTACTGGTGCACCAATCATTGACTATGAAGTCAATTTGAACGGAGAATGGCAAGCGTGGTCACAAAAGGTCCCTGTGATTGAAGTAGAGACTCATAAAATCACGTCGATGGATGTCGTTGTGCCGACAATGGATACAGTGCGGCACGAGGCTCTGCTTTATTTGTGGTTGGCCGAACATAGGCCAATGATCTTGTGTGGCCCTCCCGGATCTGGAAAAACGATGACTCTCTTCAGGTAGGTCTCTGCTTCTAACTGACTTTCAAAGATCCCGTACTACATTGAGCCAGCTTTCGGATTTGTTTAGGATCCCATCATCATAATCTGGAAAGCCCAGGTCTCTGAACGCTGATGAGGACTAGAATGAACTGCAACAACAAAACAACAATTTTTTTTCCAATCGTATTTGTGGCTTGTGCGGGGGGGGGGTGATCTTTGCCCCTTAATGTTTCGAATTATTTGCAGGACCATCAGTTGCAATAATAGGCCAATGGTTTCCAACCAAACTAACGTGGTAATGCTGACGTTCGGGAGTTTCACAGAAATGTGTGATTTCATGGAGTTACTATCAACCATCTCAAAGCCCTTGAGCTGATCGACTCGGTTGTTGGTGGGGGCTGATGCTTATGCCTTTTTATCTCCATCTCTCCTCGATTATCATCCCTGTGATTCCACTTCCAAGTTAACTTAGTACACTTACTTGACTATTCGATTGGCACCCGTTTTGTAATCTTTTTTAATAATTGTTCGTGTCACTCGGTCTTGACCAGACTCGTGAAGAAAATTTCTGTCAGTTATTTATTAGTCTTTGAATCCACACTGATCTGTTTCTGTCATCATCTCGTCAAGCTTTTAAACCTACTTTTTCCAGCATGCTGAGATTGAAAGCCGCTCATGTTTTCGTTGAATTTCGTTTTTTTTTGAAAGTGCATTTCTTTCGACGAACTCCGGATGATCCATCTTTGACACTAACAAATTTAGGATTTATATGTTCGAATTACAGTACGCCTTCCTACTGCCTAACAGGCAATGCGGCTGGTTATCATAGAAAGTTGTGACCATTCAATGGTATGATTTGTTTACAAATGTCGGATATGACTGAAAGCGCGTCACACAGCTCTTAACGGACTGACAGTCGCTTAGCTACTGCACAGTTGTGGACTTTTTCACGAAGTTTTGTGTGTTAATTTGACGGGGTTGGTGTTTTCTCTTCTTAATTGCCGTTATCAAGACACGTTATTTTCTCTTGAAGACTTTTTAGACTAGAAACGTGTACTGGTTCTGTCAAATTTGAATTTCGTTTTGAAAGTGCATTTGTTTCGCCGAACTCCGGATGATCCATCTTTGACACTAACAAATTTAGGATTTATATGTTCGAATTACAGTACGCCTTCCTACTGCCTAACAGGCAATGCGGCTGGTTATCATAGAAAGTTGTGACCATTCAATGGTATGATTTGTTTACAAATGTCGGATATGACTGAAAGCGCGTCACACAGCTCTTAACGGACTGACAGTCGCTTAGCTACTGCACAGTTGTGGACTTTTTCACGAAGTTTTGTGTGTTAATTTGACGGGGTTGGTGTTTTCTCTTCTTAATTGCCGTTATCAAGACACGTTATTTTCTCTTGAAGACTTTTTAGACTAGAAACGTGTACTGGTTCTGTCAAATTACGTCATTTTTTAGTTTGGTGACACCACTGTATTTATTTGTGTGTTAGTCGACTCCACTGTGTCAGATGTTCTTCACTTGCACTTGTTTCTTCTCTCCCCACCTTATTTATGTAGTGCTCTGCGAAGCTTGCCAGACATGGAGGTTGTTGGTTTGAACTTTTCCAGTGCGACCACACCAGAATTGATGATGAAGACATTTGATCAATACTGTGAATGCCGCAAAACCCCCAACGGATTAGTTCTGGCACCAGTCCAGCTGAATAAGTGGTTGGTGTTTTTCTGTGATGAGATTAACTTGCCCAACGAAGACAAATATGGTACTCAACGTGTAATCAGCTTCTTACGGCAAATGGTCGAGCATGGGGGATTTTACCGAACCTCAGATATGCAGTGGGTTAAATTCGAGAGAATTCAGTTTGTCGGCGCCTGTAATCCACCCACGGATCCTGGCAGAAAACCTCTCTCACACAGATTTTTGCGTCACGTGCCCGTTATATATGTGGACTATCCCGGCGAGTTATCCCTAAAACAAATTTACGGGACATTTAACCGTGCCATGCTGCGACTTCTTCCCTCACTTCGTTCTCAAGCCGACGCGTTGACAAATGCGATGGTTGACTTCTTCCTGTTGTCACAAAAACGGTTTACGCAAGATATGCAACCACATTATATCTACAGTCCACGTGAGCTATCACGGTGGGTCCGTGGTATTCATGAAGCCCTCAAACCATTGGATAGTTTATCGGTCGAAGGATTGGTACGTATTTGGGCACATGAGGCTTTACGTCTATTCCAAGATCGTTTGATCGAAGAAACTGAACGGCAATGGACTGACGCCCACATAGATGATATCGCTTTGAAGTACTTCCCTTCTATAGACAAAGAAGCTGCATTAAGCCGACCAATCCTGTTCAGCAATTGGCTATCGAAAGAATATTGCTCGGTCGAGCAAGAGACTTTACGAGATTATGTCAAAGCACGTTTGAAGGTGTTCTACGAGGAAGAACTGGATGTTCCGTTGGTTTTGTTTAACCAAGTGTTGGACCATGTGTTACGTATCGACCGTGTGTTCCGACAACCACAGGGACACTTGTTACTAATCGGAATAAGTGGAGCAGGAAAGACTACACTCTCACGATTCGTATCTTGGATTAACGGGCTTAGTGTTTTTCAGGTCAAAGTGCATAACAAATATACTGCTGAAGATTTTGATGACGATCTGCGAAACGTTCTGCGTCGCGCTGGTTGTAAGGGCGAAAAAATCACTTTCATCATGGATGAGTCGAATGTCCTGGACTCCAGTTTCTTGGAGCGTATCAACACATTATTGGCCAATGGTGAAGTTCCTGGTTTGTTCGAAGGTGATGAATTTGCCGCACTCATGACTCAATGCAAAGAAGGTGCAACCCGTGATGGCTTGATGGTTGACAGTCATGAGGAATTGTACAAATGGTTCACCAACCAAATTTGTACTAACTTGCATGTGGTGTTCACCATGAATCCTTCAGAGGATGGTCTCAAAGATCGAGCATCCACTTCTCCTGCCTTATTCAACCGATGCGTCTTGAACTGGTTTGGAGACTGGTCAATCGAGGCATACTTCCAGGTATGTAGTAAAGGCTATTCAACCTTATTCGATCATTAAAAAGGGTTTTCTTTGAACCACACCATCCATCCCCTTTTTCTTCCCTTTGTTTTCTAGGTGGGAAGAGAGTTTACTAGCAAAACAGATATGGAGCGACCCGATTACAAAGTTCCAGACTTTGTGCCCGCGGTTGCTGAACATTTGTTGCCGGAGTGCCCATCTTTCCGTGAAATGGTTGCAAACGCCTTCGTGTTCGTACACACAACACTTCATCGAGCGAACGCTCGCCTGCAGAAACGTACTGGTCGAAGTATGTGGGTTACACCACGTCATTTCTTGGACTTCATTGCCCACTTCGTCAAGCTGATGACTGAGAAACGCTCGGATTTGGAAGAACAGCAACTCCACCTACAAATTGGGTTGCAGAAGATTAACGAAACTGTGGAACAGGTCTGTGCACTGTTCATTTATTGTTTTCACCTAAACTGGGCTAGAAATTCCATCGTAGTATATGTTCTTAAGCCGACTGAGATATGATTCCTCCGCTATCACTCCATTCTAGGTCGAGGTTATGCAGAAGTCATTGACCCAAAAACGCCAAGAATTGGAACAGATGAACGAAGCTGCCAATGCAAAGTTGAAACAGATGGTGCATGATCAACAGGAGGCTGAGAAGAGGAAAACAATGAGTCAACGACTTCAAGAAGAGCTGGCCAGCCAGGAAGTGTTCATCAACGAGAAACGAACTTTGGTGATGAATGAACTCAGTCAGGTTGAACCAGCTGTCAACGATGCGAAGCAAGGTTTGTTTCATTCACCTGTGCACCGTTTCGCCTAAATTTATTAGCTTTAATGGCCCTTCTACTTGCTTATGCACGAATATCCTGACGTGCCAGTTGGCATATCTTCCCTCGTAGTACATGTTAGTTCGGTTGCTTTGGCCGCCTTCAAGTTATAGCTCCATCGGATGACCTATAAGCGACTGGTCTGACTCAAGCTCTGAAATAGATCATGGGACAATAAATTGCTACCACAGTTTATGTTCACTCCAATGACGGTCAGCGAAATTGGCGTGACTGGTCAAACTAATGGCTGACGGTCGGGTGTCCGAACGGCAGTCAAACATAATTTTGCCGTATCTTCTGTACGAATTCAGCGATTACTAAAAATGCTTTTACGTATAGGTTGTGCAACCTCATTATTGCCCAGAAACCCGACTGCTTGTATTGGACGTGTTCATTCTATGGCGCGACACATATTTACCCATCTATTTGCACTATTCTCTATTTTGGCTTATTTTTTAGCGAATGATTGTGTTTTGTTGTTTCCGACTTTATTTGAAAAAATCTCATTCGATTCATGAATGTAACACGAGACAGTCTTCGACTTCAGCAGAAGTATCGACATCACACGGGTCAGGGGGTCTGTGAACAATAACTTCAATCCCATTTGAATAAGTCCAAACATTCCGACTTTTAGCCCACGTTTTCACTGAAATTTCTTCACCTTCCGCTAGGTCTGTTTAAGGAAGGATGGTTTTAAACGGCTCTCAACTTGTGTCAAAATTTTCTGCCCCCCTCTCGAATAAAAGGTGTCAATTTATCCTACCTGTCTTCTGTTATCTAAAACATCTGAGTCATGAGCAGTGGCATTACTTGCATGGTTCCGTTCTTTCGAAATAGAGCTATTGGATACTCCATCTATATGTATATGTTGATCTAAATTATCACACATCAAATTGTAGCCGTCAATTCCGTTAAACGTGCACAATTGGTCGAAGTGCGTTCGCTTGGCGCACCGCCGCCACCAGTCAGACTTGCTATAGAGGCGGTCTGTACCATGTTGGGGGAGACTAGTATGGACTGGAAAGACCTTCGTACATGCTTAGTCCGCGACAATTTTATCCCCTCAATCGTCAATTTCAATGTCGATGACATTACGTGAGTCTGCCCGTTCAGCCAAACATCTCTGAGTGGATTCCGTCACCGCAGTTACATATCGCTCATTGTTTTTCGCTGCTTTTTGTTGAATGTCGCTGTTTCGCTGCGTTTTCTTTGTTTACTACGATCCTGTTATTTTCCGTTTTGGTATCTGAATTTGTGTTCCGTTTTTGTGAACTTCCATTACCCCAACTCAGCTGTTTCGGAGATCCGTAAACGAGATATACAGGAACTAAAAGCCATGAAAAATCCGCCTGCAGCAGTCAAACTAGCAATCGAGTCAATTTGCTTCCTTCTCGGGGAATATTCCACGGATTGGAGACAAATTTTAACCACAATTATGAAGGATACCTTTGTACCTAGCATCCTGAATTTTAACACAGACGACATTACGTAAGTTTTAGGCATCTCATGCTAACAGATGTATTAACTCGACTATATGGTATGATCGGGCTGTTTATGTAGAAGCAGGTTGGTGCAACTTGTCCCACTTGACTTCTCACAGACTTATCCTCTTTAGCCACGCGCACTTGGTTTCCTTGACTCATTTTCCCAGGACAATACTAACTTAGTTTCCTCACTCGATATGCGAATCTACAGGCTTTCGCATCTGTCCAGTGGCCCTTGCTCGCCGACTTAGGACCAATCATTAAATCATTCTACTGTATCTCGAATTCAAACTAGTTCAGGTTCGTTTTTTTCATGTTTTTCGTGTTTTGTGTGCTTCTATCCAGTGTCCAGCTGTTTTCGTGAATTCGTTGCTTCGCTTTGTTTTTGGGCTGCTGCTTGGTCTGCTTCGGACAACTTTTTATTTTTTCCGCTGTTTTGGGGTGCCAGCTTTGGTGCTCACTCTCACACAACCACTTTTCATAATCCCTCTTGCAGTGACAGCATACGTGAAACGATGAAAAAGAAGTACCTAAACAACCCAGACTATAATTTTGACAAAGTGAACCGTGCTAGCAGTGCTTGTGGACCTATGGTTAAATGGGCAATCGCACAAGTAAGCCAATCTCATAGGCTCAAACTCCTGTACTATCTCTTATCGTACCGTCCTTCCTCCTGAATGACATGTGATCACACTATAATACTACACTATAATACTACAATACTTCTAAATTTTCGACACGTTCTCCGCTTTTCAGTCTGCTGAGATTTGACCAGTTCTTATCGTTAGTTCTCTCAGAGCCGCCACAAGGTCTCTCATTTCCCATACAAACTTACGAACCTTGCTTCGGCACAACCACAATTTATTTGAAACCTTATTGTTAAAAAGATAAAAATGGATAGGGCGGGGACCTCGTGCTTATCTGCCACAGTCATTCCTACACCTCCAACAGTCGTGATGGAAACTGGCAACGGAAGGCCGTTGACGTCGATTAGCAGCCATATTTTGCATTTCCTCCAACCAGGCACAGTGGGGGGTCGCGAGTACCGCATACTGGAACGGAATTCGCACCGACAGTACCCATACTTATCGTAATCGCTTTCATACGACTCTGCCAGGTCACCTCTTTGCCTGCGAAGTACATTACCGAACCACTGTAGCTTTTGGTGCATGACACTTTCTTCGACTGGAGATCCTGCTGCACAAATGAATACTCGCTTTTCAACTGTCTCGTGGTGGACTCGCTGACACCATCTTACACGAGCTATGGTTCTTAGACAACGGTTATCTAACACCTGAAAGCGTCCTAGATCGGCTACTTGTAGGGACCACGTCCTGCTACCGTACAAAACCGGATTGTAGCCTATTACCCTTTGAGATTCAGGAATATACCGCTTTGCCACCATAGATGTTTCAAATCAGTAAACGCGCAGTGACATTTACCGCACTACATTCGGAACTTATACAATTCAGTATACGTAAAATGCTCCACATTCTCTAGGGTCTCCTTACATTTTAAGTGACGTGTTCAATGATCGCATGACTTACACTTTGTTCAAAACGCATACCGGTGGATGGGATGACTTTGATAGGTTCCTCTTAAAACACATGCCTTTCTTTCCTTTTCGAGGTTGAGAACGATATCATCTACACGGTTCACATCGTCAAGGCCCTCATCAGCAGCTGTTTGAAAGCCCAGGGTTTTGAAGACTTAAAATTGTCTGATTATCTTATCGAAGAGTACTCCCTATTTCAACGCCTATTGTTACCTCATTTTTCTAATTCTTCCGGTTTCAGTGTAGGAAAACCTGACTTTCAAATTCCTCCACAGCATTGCAATTTTTCCTTTTAGGTTCAATATGCGGATATTCTCAAGAACGTGGAACCCCTAAGAAATGAACTGAAAGCTTTAGAACAAGCCGCGTCGAAGAACAAAGAGGAGGCAAAAAATGTCGAGAGCACCATAGAATCATTGGAACGCAGCATTGCCAAGTATAAAGAAGAATATGCGGTTCTCATCAGCCAAGCGCAAGCTATCAAATCAGACCTGGCAACAGTGGAAGCAAAGGTTCGTATGATCACTTTATTACACTTCAAAGATCTTTCGAATTATCCTCAATGAAGTTCGGTTACCGACTCTGCTTTGTTAAACTGTCATTTATTCTGGTTTACTTAACTAAACACCCACTTAGTTTTGTTAGTGTAAACGTTTCAAAATCATATTTTGACCCTGGTTTTGGTTTCATCCTAGGTTGAACGTTCCGTAGCTCTGATCAAGTCTTTGAGCAGCGAGCGTTCTCGGTGGGAGAGCGGAGCAGAAACATTCAAGTCCCAGATGTCCACCATTTTCGGTGACTGTCTACTCTCTGCTGCATTTATGGCTTACGGCGGCTACTTTGACCAACACTTACGTGCTAGTCTGTTTGCAACATGGTGTCAGCATCTGCAGTCTGTTGACATTCGTTTTCGAAGTGACCTGGCTTTGGTCGAGGTAAGTAGTTTAATCTAGCCAACAAATTTTGTGGTGACCAACCGGGCTGATCTTATCCTACAGCTATTCCCCACATATTTGCTTTCTGCCAGTAGCTTCAAATATTCAATCATTTAATGTGGGATTTATCCTTCACTTCGGTTAGAGATTCATGAATGTCTTTCATTTCTGGCAGCCATACCAAGCCATATACTCAGGATTCTGTTAAGTTCTATGCCTTAAAAGGTGTACGGAGGTGTTAGTTACCAACGGAAGAAAACTGGCACTCATGAAGGCAAGAAACTTTATGGGATGGAAATGAAGGTCACAAGTAACGGAATTTCACTCTTTTTGTGACGAGGCTTCCCATCCATCAAATATGTGGGCTTTTAGTTCCCAGTATAGCAGACGAGAGGCACTAACTTGCCTACTACTTTTAATCAGAACTTATATATTTTCTTACCGCCTCGTTATTTTTGTATCTATCCCCAAAAGAGTCAAGCGTTCCAAATAACGCACAGCTGTGTGGTCTTGTAAGCATGAGAGCAGCTTGTTTGAGAAAGCATCTATCTTGGTCTGACTGAACATTTTGTTTTTGATGGTTTTCAGTTTTTAGCCATGCACGAGGATGTTCCCTAGTGTGTCTAATGACTTGGCAGTTCATTTTTGTGTAGATCACGCCGCAATCGAGCGCACCATTATCTTGTTTTGAAGACTTGTGGACTCGATAGCCGATATTTCATGGTGTTAAAACCGTCCACCTGCTATTCAGAATGGACTAGTTTCCAAGCTCCATCAAAATGTTTGCTAGCATGTTCTCTCGTAAATGAGCGTCTGTTCTCGCTTGTTTGTAGTTTTAGGAGACTTTGGAAGTTTTCAGTTGACATTTCGTCCTACAAATGAGTCAGAAACCCGTACCGAAAAACTGAGAATCATTGTACTGCTGTTTCATTCTTGTTTGAACCGTCGGTAGTGCGCATCTTCAGGGGAATTCGAATTCGCGAACTCCGATCTTGTAGTTTAAGACAAACCTTTAGCCATGAGCGGTTGATCACCAATGTGGATAACCTCCACCCAGGTAGGATGTGGCGCCACTCATGCTTTTTATTCAGAAATAGAAAGTAAAGAATTCTTTTGCATTACAGGAATCTCACTCTCATAGGGCCAAGGTTATGCAATCCATCTGGACACTGTAATCAAGTTATCCTTCCTAACTAGTCGCGACCTACTGTGTCCCACAATCTCGCTAATCGGGTTACGAAGCTTAGCAGCACAACTTTATCCATCTGACTGTTGATCGCAGAACTCGGAAGCTGAGTTAACTGGTCCACCTCTTCTGGTTTTATCTTGTACGCACGAGTGCCAAATTTACCTACATGCCTTGTGCTAGTGAGCGAGGATTTCGTTTTGAATACGTTATTTACATTCATTTACGGTTAGTGGCGTATAACACGGTTAGACACTTTTGCATCTCTTCAAGGTCTGCGTAGCATCCTCGTTTGTCAGCTTTTTTCATCTCTACTCTCCTGTATTGAATGTTATTTCCCACTCGTTTTATTTGTTAGTTGCTTGTCACTGACGCTATTTTTTTTACACATCCATACAGTACTTGTCAAACCCAGATGAGCGACTTCGGTGGCAGGCAAATGACCTACCAAACGACGAGCTGTGTGTCGAGAATGCAATAATGCTTACCCGTTTCAACCGATATCCACTGATCATTGACCCCAGTGGACAGGCCACGGAATTTCTGTTAAACGAATACAAAGCTAAAAAGATAATGAAGACCTCATTCCTGGACGATGCTTTCCGGAAAACGTTGGAGTCTGCGCTTCGATTTGGAACTCCTTTACTTGTGCAAGATGTGGAATCCTATGATCCTATTCTTAACCCTGTATTGAACCGCGAAGTTCGTCGAACCGGAGGCCGAACGTTGATTACCATAGGCGATCAAGATATCGACTTGTCACCTACTTTCTCAATCTTTCTTTCAACTCGTGATCCTTCGGTACGTTTGTGTTTGTCGCTGTCTTATGCACTTTTGTTAGTTTTCTAACAATGTCCGTTTTATGTACCATACTTAAGCGCACCTACAAGATGTGTACTTGATTCAAATGGTAAGAACACATGGATTTTGAGTAAGCAAGCTTTAAGGCTGGAAAAAACCAGTCCTGTAGGCGAACCGCGTTGCGCTCGAATTTTTTCATCATCCAATAGGTAGCTGAATACCACATACTTTAGGTGCTTTATATGAATTGACTTCATGGTTAAAATTTTCTCGGGGTTAGTGGGACTACACTCATAAACAGCTGGGCAAAACCTTGCCGTTGCTGCGATAAAAATCTCGTCATGTCGCCTACACTGTATGTATACAGCAAGCCCGCTTTTCTACAGCTGTAGTGCCTTAACATTCGTAGTCATGGTGTCATTCGCCCCACTAGTTTGTACAAAATGAGTCAAACAGGAAAGCAAAAGTGAACTGAACAATCCTGGGAAAAATGTATCCTTACATACTGAACTTAATAATACGGTGGTATGATTCGATTGATGCACACCGTTGCGGCGACTGTGTAAAATAATACTAGTAATCGTTCAGTTCTCATTCATCAAGCCCCTTGTAAATTCTTATGCGATGTAACGGGGATAACAGTCATCTCTGGAATTCTACACATTCGTTCGCCAACTTGGTCTCACCCTTCCCTGTTCACGGTTTCCTCACCGCAGGTTGACTTCCCTCCTGACGTCTGTTCTCGAGTAACTTTCGTGAACTTCACAGTCACCCGCGGCAGTTTGCAGACTCAGTGCTTGAACGCTGTTCTCAAGGCTGAACGACCGGATGTTGATTCGAAACGTTCCGATTTGTTAAAGATGCAAGGGGAATTCCAGCTGCGGCTCCGGCACTTAGAAAAAGACTTGTTACAATCACTGAACGAGGCGGAAGTACGTCATTATTTTTCCGGTTGCATTTCCTCTGCTATATTTAACCCGGTTGTGCACTGTATTTTCAGTCACATTCGGTTCCTCTTGATATAGCGACATTCGACCATACAACGGTACATATTTTATTCCCTTCACCCCATACAGGATCTCCAAATCGATTGATATATCTCGTCACTGACACCGTTCCTGTATTCGTCGATAAAAATCGACGAGTACTTGTTTGGCATTTGGCTACACACTACTCCTCCTTCATCAGATTTATTATAGTGGTTAATCGGGTTGGTTTACCATGTCACTGAGTTCACCAGATAACGAACATCGTTACTGCAATGAGATTTATACCTACCCAACAGATTAGAAATTATCTAAAAAAGCATTTTTACACCTCACAGGGTAATTTGCTGGACGATGACAAAATCATCACTCGTCTGGAGACGTTGAAACAGGAAGCGGCAGAAGTGGCTAAAAAGGTTGAGGAAACAGACGTGATCATGTCTGAAGTGGAAACGGTTTCACAACAATACGTCCCGTTGGCCCAGTCTTGTTCCGCCATCTACTTTACTCTAGAAGCAATGAATCAAGTGCATTTCCTGTATCAATACTCTCTACAATTCCTGTTGGATGTCTTCACGTGTGTGCTAACACAAAACGCTCGATTAAAGGATGTTCGCGAGTCGGCCCAGCGTTTGAAGATTATCACACAAGATTTATTCCAAGTGAGCCTCCTGTACTCGTCATTATGCTGTCTTAGGTTTTCTTTTCTGCTATGGCAGTTGCATCAATCTTCTTTCCAATTCACTCCGTGTTGGGGCGATAAGGTACAATTTTTCCACGCGTCTTCGTTGAGGAATTCTTTACTTGCCAGCAAGAGTTAACCACGTTTCTCAGAACCAACGTCACTAGATAAAAAACTTATTATATTCAAACGTCGCATCTTCATTGTAGATACGGTTGCTACTGCAACCTACGAAACGGCTTGTATCTTCGTCCCTGTTAGACTACACTAATCTGTCGTTTCTTTACTGGCAGTTGCAGTTGCGCCTTCGGTCTCATATCGTAAGGCCTAGTATATCTCCGTTTGCGCCCTCAATGACTCTCGTGCATCCAAGCTATTGCCTTTAATGCATAGCTCCCTTCGCAACCACTCCCACTTAAAAGTCCCCTGACAGCTCTGTATTTACGCACTAACCTATCTGCTCCCGCCTCCAATACACAGCTATCTAACCACCTCCCCAACTCATCGATGGACGAAATAGTGGCAGCCTTAACGACTGTACGACAAGTACTTGGTTCTTCCAGATGATAATGACAATAATGATGATGATATCTAATGAAATGGGTGACTCAAAACTAACAAAACCAACTCAGTAGCTCTCTCATGTGACTATTCATGAGGCTGGTGGAAACGCTGGCAACCCACTACTGGTTTTGTAGCACATTCAACTGGGGAATGTCGTAAGCAAGAGAGTCAGTTGGGTTTCTCATTGGCACCATTTTAATTTTTAGATGACTGCCTATCTCTTCTCAGTAGTCCCGTTATAAACAGCCAACGACAGATGCGATGTACGATAATAATGGTCGCCAGACCGTTGCAAGATTAGTTAGTAACTGTTTTTCGTACGTATAAAGAAGGAGTGAGCCCGTTTATAACGCTATTCGGAAACCAAAATAATTAGTTAGGTCTGTTCTATAGCTACCACCTGTCTTAGTCTTACTTGAGCGACCAGGGGTGGATTTGTGCAGGTATTCTGAAATGTGTTCACCTATTCGTACACCAAGATTCGCCACATGACAATTTTTCACACTGGCAGTTAAAATTCCACATTTCCACTCAAATATGAAGTGATCAGTCGAACCCTTACCTTATTAAATTGTATAGTCAGTGAATTTATTGGGTCGATTTTTCAGGTTACGTACAACCGTGTGGCTCGTGGAATGCTGCACAATGACCAAATCACATTCGCTGTACTTTTGGCGCGTATTTTCCTTAAAGGCCAGGCCAACTCCAAGTCACTGAGCCTGGATACTGAATTCGATTGTTTCCTCCGAGGTCAAGATATAATGCCGAAGGAAACTATCTCAAAAGGTTCCGCCAGTGCGGATGCGGAACAGGCAAGAGTGATTGATGTACTCAAGAAGAAGCTCGCTTCTTTCCGGAATTTGGATAGTGCTATCGCTCAGAATCGTGCAGCCTTCAGCGCCTGGATCAATAGCGTCGCACCCGAAGTACGTTACAGGTCTCCACATTATTCACCCCGTTTTTTACTGGTGCCTTGCCAGAACCTTTCGATTCATCAGAAAAGACTTCTCCAGTCAATGTTTGAGTCATCTGAGGTGTAAAGACATTTGTGTCAGGTTGAATCCCATTCTATGCGCAATTCTTCTGGAGGTTTATGAAAGCACCGATGACGTCATAGCTCGCCATGACAAAATGCTTTGACCATGATAGTCTTTAGTCTAGTATGCGCCGCACTGGAACGGCATGGTGTAAAAGAAGCTACATGAGTTGAGCATATAGATCCAGCAATCTCTTCCTGAGATGCAACTATAATGGTTACGACTTGCAAATAAGTAGATAAGTGTTATGTAAAGTACAGTCAAAAAATCAAGGAATTACGATATATATATA